GTGAAGGCTTGTTGAAGACCCAATTGGGATGACATTTTTTAATGTGGTCTAGATGCCATATCAGTTTTGTGTGTTCATGTGTGAGGGGCAATCAGCAGGTGAGAGGATTAATTGGCCTTAATTTAACCAGGTGTGATCCCACTGGGATTAATTACCTCTTTTCCAGGGTGATGAGGGAAGCTGTTGCAAGCTTACTAAGTTCGGCACAATTTAAATAACGTAAATTTCCAAATTATCAGCTCATAATGGCCTGCTCATGAAAATGATGATAGCATATAATCATTTAGCATCCATCGACAATATAACAGAGTTCAAAGTAGGATTTGTGAAGTGACTAATTACGATGGAATGCGTCTCGAGACCTTCGCATGAAGTCACTCGCACGCAACCTCTCTTCACCGATCATGATCGTAAAAATAATAATGTATCCTGGAAATTCTAATTGAGTCTCAATACAATTTTCAGGAGAGTCCTGTCACATTGAGGTCTATTGGCAATTGCTTAATCGCTTAAGTATCTGGAGACGGCCCACGTATTATGAATAGACAACGCTCAAAATCCATACAGATAGGTCCACAATACATTTGCAGTACTGCCACCACCTGGTCACCTGGTCACCTGGCAGCAGGGGGAGGTCTCATCACACGGTGATCCCTGTGTGATTCACCAACCCTCATCTCCCAAGGACTGGACCCCAGGCGTGCTCCACCATACCCGACTATCGTCACCTCTTCTCTTCTGTCAGTCATCCCATGGTGGTTGATATTGAGGTTGCTCGAACTTATTCTGCTCCTTTTCTCCGGTCATGGCGATCACTTGGTCTCTTTTAAGTTCTCCGTTAATCCGGCTCTTGTGTGGACAGCGTCTCCTTGCTGCTTGCATGAGGCAGTTGAAGGCCATTGATGATGGCCATCTCTTGGTTTCCATCCTTTGCACCAAAGTCTCCTGCTGTGTTAGCTTTTATTTGTCTTATTTCTTATACACCCACCTTTAATTCGATATAAATCGGTCACGCGTCTGAGGGAAATCTTCACTCAAAAGAACATGGGGCAGTGTTCGCCTCCACTACCAGCAAACTGTTAAATGGAACAACCGGACACCAGGGCACCAGGAACCCCCATCTTGACGGCACTCCCTCCGTCTGCGATTCCGTCGGACCGGCTCCTACCTCACCCCTCCGTGTGCAGGTGGCCACCATCACTGGCGTTGGAGGCCATCCGCTATGATGGGAGCAAGCGGCTCTAGTGGTGCCCAGGGCTGAGAAATGGCCGGGGCGTGGCAGCAGGAATGATCGGGGAGTGGCGGCAGGAATGATCGCGCTGGCCAGCAAACAAGAAATGTCGGTGCATTCCTTGTGAAAAAGAGACTTTGTGGCCCCGGGTGGCGCTTGGTATCCCAACTACTTTCACCATGGCCACAGAGCCAGACCCCTCACCGTTTGGGCTGCTCGTTACACCGGCCTGGTGTTGTGCAGCGACTGGGTTGCTCTGTCCAGCTGCGAGCAGCAGTTGTCGACAGAGCGAGTTCAAATCTCTTCCATCCCTCCTGAGGTTTGTAAAATGAATACAAAGTAACGGCAAAGTCACCATTGGCTGTCCTGTGTGAATCGACTCGCGTCTCCACCGTAGGAATTTCCAGCACTGGCTCTGGGCTATGAACTAGAGATGAGCACCGCCCTATGCTGGTTTGAGCAGGAAATCGCTTGAACTCCGAGACCGCTCCCAGAATTTACAAGCGTGTTGTCCGCTGTGAATCGTGCGTTAGAGGGCCCCATGAAGTCGTTTGCAAGAGTAGGCCTCTTGTGTGTCGCTCTGCAAGTCCAATATGACCGGAAAAATCCCGTAAATTATGATGTTTTCCCTTCCTCATGATGTTTATGCTGTCCCACCTGATGTCCCCTTACTCTGGCGGTCTGAGATCACAACCTCCTGTAGTAAAACATAAATAAACGCCGACGATACCGCTGCTGCACCGGCTCTCATCTCAAGAGCAGGTCCTTGACCTCTGGCAAGATCTAACCACCTCCTACAATATACACCCAAAAGTGTTGAGCGTTGAACAGAGGAGGACTTAAGACACGGCAAGTTTGCCACCAGCGTGGGTAAGACATCAGAGTGCAAGGAGCTCCTGGCTTTGGTGGCGTGGGATGTTAAGGAGGAGGCCGAGAGGGAGAACGCGTCGAAAGGAACAGCTCGGCTGTGAGGTCACCCTCTTGGTCCACCTCTTTTCTCACCGCGCAGTGACTCCCTCCATGTGAGAACCAGGCTGGGGAGTGCGTCGGGGTGGGGGGTGATATTGGGTGCCTCGCTCTCCTTATCTCCGCCCCGCATCGGAATGTGGCAGTGCGCCACGCTTTTCACAACGTGGATATCGCGGTGGGAGCGTGGGCGTTATTGCTCCGCACGTCTCTTCCTGCTACTGCTGCTGTTATGAGGGATATCACGGCTTCGTACGCAGCTCTGGTGAGCGTCGCCAGAAAGCTCTTCACTGACGAACACGGAATGCGGTCCTTCGCTGTTTCTTCCTGTCTCTGCCCATCTCTCCCCATCCCTCGTTGTCTATCTGTGTCTCTCCGACTCTCCCCGTACCTCTGTCCCTCCCTGTCTCTTGCTTTCTCTCTGTCTCTCCCTGATTCTCCCCTGGCATGCCCATCATTCCACAGCTTGTCCTGTCTGCCCGTGGGTTCCTGTCAGTTCCTATCTATTCTGGGTATGTCCCCTATCAGTCCTAAACTTGTTGTTGTCCCCCTTTTGTCTTTCCGAGTTTTGACCGACTTGGCCCATGATCACTAGATCGTTTTGGATTGGTTGGTCATTTCTCATCATTCTTGTTTTATCATGATTTGTGTGAATTAACTTTCACATTGTGGTGTGAAAGGTGCTTGAAAAATAAATTTTATTTATGACCCTGTATTTAGCTGTGCAAGAGTCATTGTGACTAAAACTTTCGCTTCGAAGCAAGACCTGGGCAATATTAGTCCTGTATTGGCACGGATAGTATGACGTTAGGGGCAGGGGTACTGTTCGGGGTAGGGTTATGGATAGAGAGGGCATGGTTATTGTTCAGAGTTATGGTTATTCATAGGGGTAGGATTATTCGAGGAGGTTGCCTGAGTAACATTATTAGGTTTATTGTTGTAGATGAAGATGGTGTTGGTAGTGTTTGGGGTCAGGAGGTAGTTTATTGTAGACCACAGACAGATCCCTGAAGTCTGCAGCGCAGTTCCAACCCTCGCAGCACCGCAAGGCAACAGCGCTGCCACCCACTGGGATTTTTCTTGTGTGTGGCCCCTGGTTGTAGTGGTGAGGTTGGGGTCGGGACAATGTGTGGGGCTGGGTTGTGGTGTTGCGAGCTGCGAATGCATCCCTGTATTTCGAGGCCCCGAGACTCGACGTCTCTCTCCCCGCGCCGCTCAAAGCTTCAAACGCAGAGAGACTCCCTTGCAGCGCTGTCCATCCTTGTGTGCAACACACAGGTGTGTGCGGGGAAGAACATCCGTCGTGGAGATGGAATGATTTCTCATGGGAAAAGCTTTCATAATAAATGTTTTTTTTTATTATGCCAGAATTGTCGCCCGATGATGCTGGATGTAATTACCAGCGAAACGTTTTCAAATTGTAAGTGTTGTGGATTTACTCTCCAACACACCAGTGAGCTGAAGTAGTGACTAATTGATAATTGGTTTTTTACCCTTCTATCTGGCAACAAAACTGACACCTTTTTTTTACAAGGAGTCATGTTTACATAGACCACAATACCTGCAGTCATAATGCAAACAAAAAACATAACTCTGATAATGTTCACTGTCCTTGAAGTTGATTGGTCCACACCCCAGATGATGCCAAAAGGCGCACAACTCAAAGATAATGCATCATCAGATTATGAGAGCTCGGGGTAAGCATTTACACCATTGGAACCTCATTTGCCAGTATAAAATATGATAAAAAAAATTTTGTTTGCATTATGACTGCAGGTATTGTGGTCTATGTAAACATGACTCCTTGTAAAACAGGTGTCAGTTTTGTTGCCAGATAGAAGGGTAAAAAAACAATTATCATATTTTTTACTGGCAAATGAGGTTCTAATGGTAGTAACTAATTGGTACGTTTTGTTTAAGTGACAAATCTTACTCATTGGCTGTCGGGTGGTGGCGGGTTAACGGCACATTTATACTTCCACGATCTAACCGAAAAAAACCTTTATTATATTGGTCGCAAAAGGCCCACGTGTCAAACCGACTCGGCTCAACCGTTGTGAGTTTAAATCCCCAGTTGGCGGCTGATTCGACCCATAATCCCTTTTGAGGTGGAGTCCTTGTGGAAAGTCACCGTAGATTGTTTTACGTCTTACGGGGAGACTGTGCTCTGCCATAGAGCATATTTAATTTCCACAACTGGTTTGTGGGAAATCGCCCGCGTTACGATTTTTTGAGCATTGATGCACTTGAACTTTTGCTTCATAATTTGTTTAACTTGGGGAGTACATTGAGAGTCAACACACCTCTCCTGCACAGCAGATCTAGCAACGTGCATGGCAGGGTCAACAAGTGGTAAGGTCAGCCCGTGGTAGTTTAAAGCCTATCGAAGGTTCAACACGTGGAAGGAGATCGGCACATGGCAGGGTAATGGTTTGCTTAGTTAAAACTCTAATTTGAACGTGTAATGGAAGACTCAAGAGTGGCCGGCCTTTCTGTTGATGTGGCTGTTCAGTTAGGAGCCCTTGTTTGGTTTTTTTGCGGCTGTCGTCACGACCTCGCAGAACTGGTATTTTAGGTCTCGCTTGCTCGGCTCAGGGGGTCGACGGCCCCCCGTGGGAGGGCTGAATGGGGCAGCCGTCGGACCTGCCTGGGATGAGGCGGGCCATGCTGAGATGGCCGGCGTTGTTTTGGCGAAAAACGCAGCAGGAAGGGGGCCCCCGCAGGGGTCTGAGTGTGTGGTTCGACTTCGGCAGGAGGGGGGGTGGGCAGGGAGGGGGAGCGAGGAAGGGGGGAATGGCGATGAGGGAATGGCGAGTCACGAACATAGGTGCCGCATATCCTATCCAGTTGCCTGGCCCTGTATCTAGCTCTAACACTAGCCCTAGTCTTTATACTGATGACAACACTAATCTTAGGCTTAATGCTAACACTGGCTCTAACACTCACCCTAGTTTTTACATTAATCTAAACACTAACCCTCGGCTTAACGCTAAGGACTCTTTATGTTCCTGCTAACTCCAACACGAACCATCGTACTGACCATAGCCTTTACGATAACGTTTGCCCTCCTGCTGACACTAACCCAGGGTAGCTGGGTGAGAGAGAGAGAGAGCGGCACCTCGTTCAAACGAGGAAACGTCTCTTAGCAACTTGCACTTACAACAGGAAACAGAGGGCCGCAACGGCATTAACAACAGCAGCAACAGAGGAGTAGCAGAGGGAGCAGCAGTTATAGAAATCGCAAATCCTGTAGCAGCATCCGAGGTAGTTGGAGTAGAGGCAGCAGTAGCCTGGATAGTAGCGGCAGCATCAGAAGCAGCAGTGAAATCGGCAACAATTACGGTAGCCACAGTCGGAGCAGGGATAGCAGCAGAGGTAGCTGCAGAAGCAGCAGCAGAAAAATCAGTTGCAAGGGTAACATCAGCAGCAGAAGGATGAGCAGCGTGCAGGTTTTGTTGCTGGTGTGCGATGGTCATCAAACATCGGCGTCGAGTGTTTCTGCAAAGGGCGGAGAGGAGTGAGAAGAGACGAGATTTGAATCTCGAGGAGGGTGTCGACACTTCCGGAGAGGTTTACACAAGCACGGCAAGCCGGGTCCAGGGTACTCGGTGTGAAGATCCCGCAGTCCAACGTTACCCAACGACGGAACACTTGCTCGCGTGACACGACGGTGCGTGGCGAGTTTGTGTATAATACGTATAAACAAGGGAGGCGGCGGTGGATAAGTTCGCATGCCTGCGTTACGATCCTGGCTACTACCCAGGGCTACGTTCCTCGCCACACACCCCCACCAGTGTTACATGGGATCAGCATCTTGGCTGGGCTACCCCTCAAGTGAGTAACGAGTGCAAGTGTGTCAATGTCAGCAGTAGGGAGACGAATATTGCCAGGTGTTGCATGGCGGGGTGGTGTTAGTAACACCACCCCGTCATGTGCTGTGTCGGCCTCTGAGTAGGTGCTTGCAAACTATTTGCCATAAGAGTCTACAAGAATAAGTGTGGACATGTCCAGTTTAGCGACCCGAGTTCAATTCCCGCTCACAGCCAGCACTAGTGTCGGTTAACTGTACCAGTCCTAGGCCTATCCTAGGTCGACTCAGTCTCAAATGAGTATCTCGTGCGATATTTATCAGCACTGGGGAGACAAAGACAGCCGGGAGTGGTGTAGGCCACCCACCCCCTCGTGTGCTGTTCCGACCTTCATAGGTGCTCATCACTTGCCAAAAAGTATCTTGAGGCAATACGGGGTATTTTTGTTTTCGTTTTATATACACGCACCCATAAAATCCACTCGGTTGAATTGCAGTGAAATTGTCGTCTACTGTGACACATGGCGGTTGTGTTGATTGTGCTTCACCACACTGCTCCGGGCGGGGTCTTATTATAGCAAACTGTTTTTTTTATGTTGTATTGTTTTTGAAGTTTCTCATCCAGACAGGGTTTGCTACAGGCAGGGCTGACATGTACATGTGCCTCACCCCCCTGCCTCCTGTCCTCCACTCTCCCCCCACCACTCTCCCTTCTGTCCCCCCCCCCCGTCCCCACAGGCGATCCCATGACACGGGGACGGAGCGCGACGAGCAGTTGATGGAAGAAAAGAAGAAAAAGAAACAGGAAGAGCGACACAGGAAGAAGGGCGGCTGCTCGCAAAGGGCGGTAAGTATGCACAAGCACCCAACGCACGCGCAGACACAGACAGACGCACTCTTACACGTATATATGAGCGATTGTTCATATGCTTATTTGCCTGAACATGTATGCATCTGCACACACCTGCCTCCATTTATTTACCTGCAAACACTCGCCAGCATTCTCCTGCACTTATCTATACTCACTCACCAAGCACATGTACTCATCTGCATGTGCACACCTGCACACAATCACCTGCCCATGTATGCAACTACACACACCTCCTCTCCCACGTACTCACCTGTACATACACGTACCTGCACATATCCACCCACCCACAACCCATTCATCTTCACCTGCTCGCCTGCATGCATGCACTCACACCTACACTCAACTCACCTAATCACTTGCACACATGCATTCATTCACTCACCTGCACTCATTCGCTCACTCACCTGCACACGCATGTGAGCTGTCTAACCGCCGATTGTCTCGTGTGTCGCCCCCACTCCCCGTCCCTAGGCCGCAGGTGAGGATGCACTGAGAGGTGAGTCGACACCTGTGTTCACACCTGGTCACAGGTGACCACGTGTGTAGTCTTCCCCCAAACATGCGGTTGTGGTAAAGTGTGGTTGGGCACGAGTCGCGGTTGAGTTGCCGAGTGGAGAACAAATCGTAACATGGCATGGGGGGGGTGTACAGAAACTCCGCGGACAGAAGTCCTGAACGCTGTGCTCCTGAGTTTAGAGGAGTGGCGGGGGGAGATTGGGTTCGCTGCGATCGACGTAGACTTTGAATGATGGACGATTAAAATGTGCTCAACTTGTCACTTTTTTATATTTTAAGTTTTGCGCAATGTTTAAGTGAGATCAGTTGTCATTGTGAGGGCAGGATTTTAGGTTTGAATGTAACTTTGTATTTGGCCAAGATTCCCACTCAAGGAGGATGAGCCTTCTTGCTCACGTGAATAAACCAAGTTATAGGTACACCTTAACACCTAACCCAATGTGTCAAGTTAATCAAGATTAGGATTACGGCCGAGTCCAGCTAAAGCCTCAAGTAAGGTTTAAGGTTGCGCCTGAGTTTAGCCCTGGCCTTAAGTCTAACCTAGACACAGCAGCCCCATACGTGCCTGGTTTAAAGTTACTTCTGGGTCAATCCTTAAACTGAATCTCTACTCCTGGGGGCTATAGCCCAGATCTTGTCATCGGGACAGAGTCAATTGATTATTTAATAAATTCTATAGTACAGCACTTGTTTTATGCGTATTCCTATGTTGCTTTCTATGATTATCTTTTGTGCTGTTTATTTTTGCCGTAGTAACAGTATAGTTTTATGAAATCCAGTAAAAATTAGTTTGATTCATGGCCATGGATTTCATCAATGACATGTGATATATGTAAAACTAGACTGACCAGCGTGGTGAAGAATAGCCAAACAATTGTCATGATCGACATTGCTGGGAGGGCCTTTTATCCAGCAGTGAATTGACAAATGGATGGAAATAACTATTGATTACGCAAGTGTATCCCGTTTGGTTTGTGCTACAATTAGGGTGACTGACGCACATTTGCAAGGTTACAAGTCAAAATCGCTGTCGGGGATTGACTTGGCCCATCATTGCTTCCGGGGTCGATAAAACGATCACTGCTTTGTGTTGATGGCAACTGTGGAATTTCCAGCAGTGGCAGCGGCTGCGAGCAAACCTCCTTTTTGCTCTTTTGAGCAGGGAGACGCTTCAACTCTTGAGTTAGTTCCGCGCCACATGTCACGTACGTCTCAGCCGCGCCCTCGCCTGGTTCTATATAAATCTCGCCGAATTATGTTTTTGTCTGAGAACCGATTTGAAAAGGAAACCGACTTGCTGAGACCTTTCGCTTCCCGGGGCAACCTCGCGTTGCAACCGGTTTCACAGGCGCGGGTACCGGTTCTGGAGGGAATTTGTGTTTATTTTCGTCGCAGTGTCACAAGTTTTAGTTGATGCCGTCTCACGTGGAGCGGACATGCGCCACTGCACGTGCTCGCTTCAATCACGACCCTGTTTCTCGGGGTCACAAGCATTTGTGTGTGAGTGAGTGGACGCGTGCGTTTACTATAGTGTCGGGAGCGGTCGTGCTGACTGCTCAGTGTTTGGTGCAATATTTAAAACATCGCCACTCGGGAGACAAATGCGGCCGTGCATAGTGCTGGCCAACCCCCACCCCCTTACGTGCTGTGCCGACCTTCATAGGTGCTTGTTAAGAGCACTTGTCCCAAAAGTCTGTTGAGGATATTCGGGGGACCTTTGTTTTTATTTTGTCTCGGTAGTTGCTCACAAACAGCACTCGGCCTGACAGTCTTAAAGGCTAAACAGGAGTCTCTATTGTTGCAATTCTACAAGTATGGTGTAGTGTTTTTGTTAAGTGCATGACACAATTTGTTCATGGATTTTTGTGGATGCACAACTCTCTAATGTCTTGTGCTGTGTCAGACTTAATAGGTTCTCATTGACAACATATGCCCCAAAGGTTTACAAGGCTAAACGGGGCATGTGTGTGGTAGTGGTCCTGACCTAGGTCGACTCAACCTCAAATGTATACCTGGTGCGGTGTGTATCAGGACGAGGAAGACAAATGTGGCTGGGCGTGGTGCTGGCCACATGACTCTCTCGTGTACGGTGCTGATCTTCATAGGGTCTCCCGAACAGCACTTGCCCCAACAGTCTCTTCAGGCTATGCGGAGGATATTTGTCTTTGTGGTTTCATCCTCAGTGCTGCAATCCTTGTAACCTGGCTGTCTCCCACGAATAACATCAGTGGCATGTGCAACGGGACTTGGCTTTGTCCTAGGTTAACTCGGCCTTAAAATAAGTACCTTGTTCAGTGTGCAAATATCAGCATTGGGGAGACAAAGACGGCTAAGCGTGGTGCTAGATGCACCATGGCGCCGTGCTGGCCTAAATAGGTCCTCGCTAGCAGCACTGGCCCTCATCCGTGCATGGCCTGCACTGCTAAATGGGGGGGACGGCGCTTGCGTTTATAGCTGCCAGTGCCTTAATTTTTCCCGCAGTATTTTGGCATAAGCGATATGTGCATGTGGGTGGCCGCCTCTCTGCTCTACACACAGTATCTGCATTTAGAATTATTGCAACAGTGGGGGACGACGAGTTTTGGACATAGCGCCTCAATCTCTGTTTCTTGTCAATCCGTCCAGCCCAGATGTCGCCTGGCCAACTCGTACCTGTCAACCCCTTATCAGTGCCTACCTTATTACAGACCAATTCAGACCTTATTGATCACCCGTGCCCTTATAAATCTCGACGTTCATCCTACAAAGTCCCATCACAAGGGAGAAACACAAATAGACAAAAAAAAATCTACCCGCTTTGAAACGGCTGTACGCCGAATGGACCTGAACTCAATTTCCCTGTACATATAACAATACGGGTAAACCGTTTGGGTCGACAGGAATGGATCTGTCAAGTCTTCTCTACACCCACAAACAGTTCCTTGGAATCTATGTCAATGTGCGCTGCTTCCCGTCATCAACGAATGTTCATCTATTTCTCAAACACCAATTGCGGTCAAGCAACAACAACAAAATCGCCTCCACGCCCACGTTTTCAAGATAAGAGAGCGTTATCGTGCACCTGCAATTCGCTTGCCAACTCATTGTCTGATTGGCTGGGCGTAGGGGTGCGATCTGACACTTTATTTTATTTGTATGGGTCCGCTAGACTATATGGGGGTGTGTGTGTTTATGGTTAGAGAAGGGATGGAGTGATGTGGTACGCGAGAGGATGTGGACTTGCCTATGACTGGCACCAGCCGTGTCAAGATTGGCCTCTGTGGAGGAGGCTCTTGAAGGACGCTACTGGGCAGTTGGAGGCAGTCGCCCTCCAGCAACAACGGAGGGCAGAGGAGCGACGCTCACAACAACGAGCGGAGCGCCGGGTGGCTAAAGCGCAGCAAGTTGGCACAGTAGGGGGCACAGGTGGTGCATCGGCCAGTCTCATCTCAGTCAATCAACCCTTGGCACCACCTAGGTCCGTCCCGTGACCTGCCAGCGGATGTTCGACACTTCACGTGGCCTTAAAGTGCACCTAGCCTGGCACAAGCGTCGTGGTGTGACATCACCGCCACTTTGTGGCGAATGGCGATTGTTGTCATTTATGGTTGTGTGTTGAGCGGTAATGTATTGGTTAGCGCGCCCATCTACGAAACTGACCATCCGTCTTCGATTCCCGCTCACGGCCAACAAAAGTGACGAGATTATCCAAACCCTAGGTCGACTCAGCCGCAAATGAGTTACCTTGTGCGATATGTTAAACATTGCCACCTAGGGCGTGGTGTTGGCTACCCCCAACCTGCTCTCATGTGCCGGGGGCCGGCCTTCATAGAGATAGGTGCTTGTTAATTGCACTCTTCCCCCAGCAGTCTGTCAAGGCTGCACGGGGGAGCTTTGTCTTTGTGGTCGTGAGAGCTGCGTGCGACAATCTGAATCGATGTTCTTGCGTTATTAAATAAGGAGTCCTCGGTTGGTGAATGTCGAATTATGGCTTGTGGTCACCGAGCCCAGGGACCTATCAGAACGATTTTTGAACCGCGTAATTTTAAAACAACAAAAATAAACGCATTGTCTTTAAATTTAGATTTAAAGCTTTCGTGACTGCAGGGATTCATAATCTTGGTTCTTTCGGTAAAGTCGCGTAGAAGGGAAACAATAAAATAATAAACATACGCCTAATATTTAATTAAATAAAATTATAAATATATGTTTAATATTTTTATTCTTTTATTGTTTCCCTTCTACGTGACTTTACCGAAAGAACCAAGAATATTCATTGTCTTTAGTTGAACATTTACAGTCTTAACCAGCAAAGCCCCTCGGTGTTGCCACGACTCGGTTGTGATTGGTCGCACTGGACAGTGGGCGTGACTTCTGTCCTCTTCATCGTTCTCGCTTCTCTGATTGGTCCGCTTTGAGTGGCGGCTGGTTGAGGCCCCTCCCATGACTTCTCCCCCAGTACCCTTCGCTGATTGGTCGAATTGGGTGTCATGGGGGAAGGTGGGGGTGGGTGTGTGAGACGCGGGATGGGAGAGGGGCGGGGGTAGGGTGAGTGAGAGCCCCGCCCCCTACCCCGCCCCCTCCCCCCCTACCCCGCCCCCTCCCCCCTACCCCGCCCCCTCCCCCCGCTTCCTTCTCGCGAGATTTGGCGAGGAAAGGTCGCGGCCTCCATTTTGTGGCCTCAGGGCAGGAGGAGGAGGAGGTGGTGGTGGTGTAGAATTAGCGTCGTGTAGAGGCGGAGGAAGAGGAGAAGGAGGTTGGAGACAGACGCGTGGGGGAAGAGGAGCGCAAAGGAGAGACGGGAGAGAGGGAGAGAAAGCAGGAGCAGAGGGAGAGGCGGCGGGAGGCGGGGATTCTGGCATCACCGCGGCTGTGTTTACCACGGTACAGTGTTGCGTACAGTGCACGTGTTATGTAAACTTTAACCCCCCCCCCCCCCCTGTCTCCTATCTGTGAGCGTGGCGCTGTAGACGGTGGAGCCGATGGATTTAGGGACACAAA